GAATCTCTCATATTTGGATGAATTTGATACCTTATATCGAATTAAAACGTTGCATTCCAAAATGATACCATCAAGTTTACAGTGTGAGAATTTCATAAATTAATAATATTTTTTGTTAAATTATGATGAATCATTGAAGTTTAATTTTTTTATGCACACAAGATTAGAAAAGATAGAATAGAGGTAGGAGAAATTAACCCTAAAAATTTGTTATCTAAAATTTTGCAATATTGTTAAAATAATTTATTTTATATTTTTTTTATAGATTTCAAAAAGTACTGAAATCGATATTTCCCAAATTAATTTTGCAAGTGATCAAATCACAAAATCAAGGTGTGTTTGTATTTACTTTTATTTATTTATGAATACAAAATTGGCTAGGAATTAATTTTATTCTATTCAGAATAAAGAAAGTTTATTAATGAAAAATCCACAATCGTTTGAAAACTAAATAAGCTATATCATCAGATTAATTGTTTATTTTGAAAAATTTAAATAAAAACATTTCATTCTTTTATTAATTATTATTTTCTTTAGCATCAAATTCTTCGAAACAATATACAATCAATTGTTTAAACAAGTAGAAGAATTTTGAAAAGTTAATAACAATTGCTAAAAAACTAAATAATTATTGGAAAATTTTCTCTAATTTAGTTTGAAAAAGCGCCAAATAATTTAAAAATAAAAGATAAGAAATATAAGTATAGAATAAGAAATAAGCAACACAATTTATAAGAAATTTATTTCATTGATTTTCTACTATATTTTGATAATATTATCTGATAATATAGTTCTCACGCGTTTTATTATACTGAATAATAGAAATTTATAATGTCCCTTTAAATTTGGACAATACTATTATGTCTTTTGTATTGGAAATTGATAGTACGTGGGTGATAATTACCTAAATATTTATAATATAATTTATATAATTATAATTGTTATAATTATAATTTGTATGTTTGTTATGTAAATGGTACCTCCGGTTTTTTTAGGAAGAGGGGTAAAATATTTTTAAAGCTACTTTTAAACAACGATTAATGGATTTTTTTTTCTTTACTAATTCTTTAACCAGTTGAATCTTAGTACCGATTATACGCACGAGTTGCATTATTTGCATGTCGTATACAGCAAAGAGAGAAATAGAGTGTTTACACTTTTCCCCAGTTTGTTACGTTGGTGTTAAGCGGATGCAACTTAAAGCAATGTTTTTCGTTCGAAAATACAAGCACAAGATTTACAATTCTCATCTAGTACGTGAACTTTTCTTTACGCACATATGTATATTTATATAAAGAGAGGATGATAATCTTTTTTTTTTACATAATTCGATATTTACAAATGCAGTACCTTCAAAACAAAATTTTCAAAAATTTGAATTATAAATTATTGAAATTATTTATTCAGAAATAATAGAACTTTATTTAACAGAACAAGATATATTTATTGAATAAAATAGTTAGTTACAGATATGTAGCTTTACAGATATATTAATGCTATGACTGCTAATAGTCAACTGAACTCTTGAGGCGATCAGTCCTTTACCTGAAAGGGTACTTAGCGTTCAAGTACAAACCTTATCTTAATTTGCAGTGGAAAAATTTGTCGATGTACAAATAAAAGAGAAAGTTTGATAAAATTGCTTTTTGGGGCTGACAACCATTTTTATAACATTACCTGAGTGAAGGGTACATGCTGAACATACAAACATTCAAACAGAAAAACACATTTTAGAAACTTCAAAATATAACTCAGAATATTTTACAAATAATATTCTATATTCAATATAAAAATAATAATTTATTTTAATGTAATTTAATTTTAAAACCGTTTATATTTGCTTTAAATTTGTTGTAATCGGGATTTGTCAAGGTCGCTGATTAACGAATCTTACATCAGATTTACAAAATTCAAAATGGTGGATTGTTTTAAATTCATCAAATTCACGTGAAACTTGTTACTCTAGGGGTTTTTAGTGATGCTGATTACAAATCTAACATTAAAACTGTAATTAGTGACACTGGAAACCATTGAGTAACAAGTTGCAAACGGATAGAATTATTTTTAATGTTTATTTTGTCGACATTGGATCCGCCATATTGAGTTTTTAAAAACCCAATATCGGATTCGTAATCAGTTAATCCAAATTGCAACATATGGATATAAATAAATTTTACAACAATTGGAAAAAAAGTTGCCTTTTCATAAAAGTTATGTTTCTATCTCCATTATAAATAATATTATTGAATCCTTTTATAATTTGTGTATATATAGGCGATACCACGTGAGATTTACCTATGACATTTTCAATTCGGTAAACATATTTTTTTTCGATCTTTATAGAAAAAAAAGGTTTACGTATTTTTTTTTATTTTTTTATAAGTGCTCAAATTTTCGAGTTATGAATTTTTAAAAATCTGATTTTTTCGAGTTTTTTTTAACCCTTTGCTGCACACATTTTTCATTCCATTCAAAAATACAGATGATCACACCTATAAGGGTTTTTGGGGTCCCTGATTACGAACTAAAGTCAGTTTTTACAAATTCAAAATGGCAAATCCAATATGGCGGACGACTTTTTAAAAACCTAATGAAATTCGCTTGAAATTTGTTACTCAGGGGTTCTTGTGGTCGCTGATTGCGAATCTGAAGTCAGTTTTTAAAAATTTTAAATGGCGGATCCAATATGGCGGACGACTTTCTGAAAATCTAATGCAATTCGCTTGAAACTTGTTACTCAGGGGTTTTTGGGGTCGCTGATTACGAATCTGAAGTCAGTTTTTAAAAATTCAAAATGGCAAATCCAATATGGCGTATGACTTTTTGAAAACCTAATGCAATTCGCTTGAAACTTGTTCTCGGGGGTTTTTGGGGGTCGCTGATTGCGAATCTGAAGTCAGTTTTTAAAAATTCAAAATAGCTGATCCAATATGGCGTATGACTTTTTGAAAACCTAATGCAATTCGCTTGAAACTTGTTCTCGGGGGTTTTTGGGGGTCGCTGATTGCGAATCTGAAGTCAGTTTTCAAAAATTCAAAATGTCGGATCCAATATGGCGTACGATTTTTAAAATCTAATGCAATTCGCTTGAAACTTGTTACTCGGGGTTTTTCGAGATGATTTGGTAGCCTTGAAAAAGGCTGATTGTTATAATTGCTTATTACAAATATCAAGTTTGTTTTTTAAAATTGGAAATGGCGGATCGTAAGTAAAATTCCATTTTTAGTTGTGATAAGCGGCGAAACAATTTCTTGCTGGCAATAGGGAGAGTGGAACATTGCAAGTTTTTTAAATCCAGTACGTTCGCTTTTGGTCAGCTTTTGTACTACAATGAGCACATATTGGATGCACATTTTGAATTTTGAAAAACTAACATTGGATTCGTAACCAACGACCCGAAAACCCCCGAGTAACAAGTTTTAAGCAAATTTCGTGGATTTTTAAAATTTTCGGTCGCCAAATTGGATCAGCCATTTTGAATTTTTAAAAACTGACTTCAGATTCGTAATAAAAGACCCCATAAACCCCCGAGTAACAAGTTTCAAACGAATTGCATTAGATTTTCAGAAAGTCGTCCGCCATTTTGGATCCGCCATTTTGAATTCTTAAAAACTGATTTCAGATTCGTAATCAGCGACCCCAAAAACCCCCGAGTAACAATTTTCAAGCTAATTGCATTAAGTTTTGAAAAAGTCGGCCGCCATATTGGATCCGACATTTTAAATTTTTTCAATAACATCTAGTTCTAATAGTATTACATTTAGGAATTATTACCAAGATACAAAAAAGTATCCTGGTGATAATTCTTAAATGTAATACTTTTAGAGTTAGATGTTATTGAAATTAGGTGTATTAAAAAAAACTCGAAAAAATCAAATTTTTAAAATTTCATAACTTGAATATTTGAGCACTTACATATAACAAAATAAAAAATTACGTAAACCTTTAAAGATTATGTATTTTGTTAAAAAAATCATGATTATATTTTTAATACTCTCAAAATTTGAATTAGTTAAAAATAACTAATTATTAGTTAAACTCACTTTTAGATTATGTCAAAATAATTAAATCTTCTTAACTTCTTGTAATTAATTCAATAAATTAAATTTGACTATTTTTTCAGAATTTTTCTCACTAAAAATTATAGTAATTTTTTACTATGTAATAATTAGTTTTTTTAAAATAATTGCTGAAACAGAAAATATTTTACTAAAAATTAGATATTTTTAACTTAATTCAGATTTAGATATAATATAAGACAGAGGTAAAAGGTTTTTCTTTCATCTTTTCCTTTTTGAAATGAAGTGTAAAGAAAAATGCAATTCTTTTCTTATATATATATATATATATATATATATATATATATATTTCGATACGTCATTGATCAAATACAGTATATAGAGCTATTGGAAAAAGATTGACAAAAATAAAGTCCAAAAGTAGCCAGGATATTGATGTCCTTTTTCTTTCTTGCCCGTGGCGTAGATGACAGTAGACATGTAACAAATAAATGTGTTCAAAATGTGATTTCAACATTTTTTGAAAAGTTTGATAGAATGGAAAAAAAATATCTTTTTCTTATATTAATAAAAAATTTATATTTAAGCAGAGGCACCACCCCCAATTTTGACCCACTTAAATTTAAATTACTAAACCAAGTTATATTTTTTTCTTACATCATATTTGGGTTCTAAAAGCATATAAGGTGGTCAAAAAAATAAAATTTTAATTTTTGACTATTTTAGAAATTAGTTTTAAAAAAAAATTATATTCAAAAAAATATGTAAAGTTTTTATTGTTAGGTATTTAAATTTACTCCTCTGAATCTCTGAATTGTAGAATGATAATATAGACCGAAGCTTTCCAAATAACCAGTTTCCGAGTAATTGACGTTCCAATGTATAGATACTTGTAAATACCATATATGTATATATTTAATATTTTAATGTATTATTATATTTTACATGTATTGTATTATTTAATAAATTTTTTCTAAAAAGGTCCACATCACATATATGGCAAACTACAGATCATCCACTCGCATTTGAATTTCTGCAGGCAGATTTTCCAACGAGAGCTACATTAGAAATGTGGAAAAACTAGAGAGTACCCCATCAGGTTCACATTTCAATTTCTGCACTTTATAAAAAACGTAAGTTTAGTATTATTAACTACTTTTTCTATTTTGAAATCATTGCAAAATATTTACCTAGATGCATTTACCAAAAAAAAAAAAAAAATTTACCAAATTACCATAAATAGATACGAATTATTTAACAAGTAAAAATATGTCTTAATTGTTAAATATCATTCTAGCATATATTCTGGCTCAAATGTTTTAATACTTGGTACTCGTATGTATTTTCAGTCGCTGATTAAAAATCTGAAATCAAACGTCTATGAAACTCGATACCTAGGGTTTTTTTTTGTAAATTTAAAGAATAATTCCATTGTTTACATTAACTGGAATGAAAATTGTACGTGAAATCTACCAAAAAAAAACCCCAAGGTATTTAGTATTATGGAAAACGTACAATTTTTTTTTTAAATGTCTGCTATTTCGGATCCGCCATTTTGAATTTTTAAAAACCGACATCAAATTCGTAATCAGCGACCCTTGAAATCCCTGGGTACTAGGTGTCATAAAAATCTATTCAAAAACTTTTGAGCTAGGATTTTTGTCCAGCTAGATTTGCTATTCGTATCACTGTGCTGCGGGAATATACTTACACTTACGGCTAACACCGGTCCTTAAAATCTAATAGATTTTTATAAAATATGAAGCTACTGAAAAGTACAAGCTTCTATTGTACTTTAAAAAAAAGTATTAAGGGATATTATTTTAGATAGCAGTCCCACAGACCGCTATAGTAGTTTAATGGTTAAAATTACCACCAACAAAATTTATCCAAAATTTTTTCTTGAAGTAGAATCGCTAATATATTTTTAATATTTTTGCTTCTTTGTTGTCGACACCGAGAGCCAACAAGGAGCAATAAATGTAATGCTCAGACGTATTAAACGAGTAGATTATATTCGCGTCTGCGCAGAATGTTTATGTACATCTGCGACCATAGTTGCGATAGCGACAGGTTAGAAAAGTTAGGTTAGAAAAGGCCGAGCCAGCGATCTTTTCTAACCTGTCACTATCGCAACCATGTTTGCAGATGTACACAAACATTCTGCGCAGACGCGAATATAATCTACTCGTTTAATACGCCTGAGCATTAAATTTAATGCTCCTGGTTGGCTCTCGATGTAGCCACGTTCTATAAATATACACTGAGAGACTTTTTGCACCGCATCAGAACTACGTGTGTGACTGCAGCGCCACTATAGATTTTGGTGCGCTGCATTCTAAATTTTGTATCGTGACTACCCAAAAATGAACCTTGCGGCCGTCAACTTTTTGGACAGCTACGCTCCAAAAATTGTACGGCTGCAGACCAAAAACGTAGTTTTATAGCTGACCGCTAGAATGCTCCACAGCCGTCTGTCGAAAGTCTGCTACGATGCAAAAGGTCTTTTAGTGTACACGGAGAGAAATTTCTTACTTTAAACGCTCCAATACTATACTAGCAATTTTGGTATGTCCATTTTCTTAACAAAAACGCTTAAAGTTATCCTAAAATAGTTTCGAAAATTCCCAAGCGTTAAAAGATCACGGTATTAACGTTATTAGTAGCAACTTTATGGTTCTATTTCATGAATGACAAGTGAATATAGTTCCCTTTTCTGCCGTGCGAGATTCATTCAAGGGACATACTAATATAGCGTCTGTGTCCAGTGTAGACCTATAAATATTATATATAATTAAAAATTGTTTATAAAGAAATAAATTTCTTACATCAAAAAAATATACATAAATTTAAATAATTACCTATTCTTTAAATTAAAAAATAACTAATAATAATAAAGCAGTATATTAAAAAACGCTCAAATTCTAAATTTTCAGAAAATATACACATAAAAAGAAAAATGTAATTTTTTTTGAAAAGGAAAATATTTTTATTGAAAAATTATTTGTATTTATTTTACTGCAACATTAATAGTTAATTAATATATTTCATTATTTATATATTAGAAATTTTTCTTTAGTTTTTTAGTTTCATTTTTGAATGTGAAAAACAACATTTAGGTTCAAATGTTTTGCTTAAAATTTACCGCGTAGAGATTAGTATTATTAATTGATTTCAATTATAATTGTATATTATTATTTTTATATATTATTTATAATTTTATATTGATATTTACTATATTGTAGATAAATTACATATACTGTAAACATAAACTGTAAAAAAATATTGTAAATTTACATGGTCATGTATTCTTCTAACCTCAAAACAGTAAATTTACTTACTATGCAGCTTGTAAGTTACTCGCTCAATGTTGACGCGATATTCGTATGTGCCTCGAACGAATCTCGCACAGCAGAGAGGGGAACTATATTCACTCGTCATTCGTGAAATAGAGCCATAAAGTTGCTACGAATATAGAAGAATCAACGACACTTTATGTCTCCAGAACAACTCGAACTATTTTAGTATGTCCAAAAGTAGTTTTGGTATAAATTTTATGTTATTAACGCCGCAGCAGTTGTTTTACTAAATTAGTAAGTCGTTTTCATACGAAAACAGTAAGAAATTTCTCTCCGTGTACCTAACCTTTAGAGCAACATCGGTTCTAAATTGTATCGCAGCTGCGCTTTTTGGTGGACAGATACTGTACTAAATCGTTTGCCCCACAAGTTAGGTCAGAATCAGTACTGAATTGGCGTTGTTGCTGTTCGATTTTAGTACTGCGTCTGCACATGATTAAGGTACAATATCTGTCCCTCAAAAAAATGCAGATATTGCGTTAAACTTCTCTCAATGTAGAAAAAAGAAACACACGTCTTTTTCTCAGAAGGACTAAAATTGAATTTTTCCGAATTGAATGAGTCAAACAGCACGCGCATTGATTCATATATTGAACTTTGGGAATTTCCTTTTCCATCTCTTGTATCTTTTTGTGAAAGGTCAAAGAGGATCTCTCTCTCTCTCTCTCTCTCTCTCTCTCTCTCTCTCTCTCTCTCTCTCTCTCTCTCTCTCTCTCTCTCTCTCTCTCTCTCTCTCTCTCTCATTCTCGTTTTTCGAGATCGCGACGATGTATCGAGGGCTACGTGTATATAAATGAGACATGTATATCGACGCCATTGTTCTAAAGTCGTGACAGCGCCAGGTCAGGAACGCGTGTCCATTGGGGTGGTGGCCCAAAGAGGGGAGGGGGGGGGGAGATTTCTCCCTTTTGGTATTAGCATATTCACGACATACACAACACTCGCCTTTCTTTCTTTTTATTATTTTCTTTCTATCGGCATCTTAATCTTCAACGATAACAGACCAGTGAATGCATCAGAGAGATTTAAACAAAACAAAATTTTTCAATTCAATGACAATTCTTTCACATTGATTTTTCCATTAAAATTCCAAACGTGTATATATTAGAGACGTTATGATGATATTCGATAGAGTTTTTCATGGTCAATCGTTATATAAATCTTTTATTCATTTATAGAATTTAAACGGAATTAAAACGTGAGTAGGAGAAAAAGGATTGCGATTAGATAATTAATGAAATACTTATATTGAGAGAGCCTCTTTTATGCAACCTTTGACTTTCAATCTCCTTCTCTCTTTCTCATTAAATGCGAAAAACACTCACTTTCCTTGAAATTCACCCTTGATAACCTTGTTGAAGGAGGGAAATCCTTTTAGAGAAATTGATAAAAGCTTATTCATTTATCAGATGACATTTCTCTCTCTAAATGTTATTAATTTTTATCTGAAGGTTATATTTTTACTTTATTAATATATATATATATATATATATATATATATATATATATATATATATATATTTATCATTGCTATATATTATAACGGTAATAATTTTAAGTGTATTTCTAATTTAGCAATAGAGAAATGAAAAATTAATTATAATTTACCCTTTAATGATAGATTTTCAAAGAGCCTCGGCAAGCCCCATGCAAAAAATGCCCCTTTTTCGTACCTCGAATTTTGAAACTTTTGTTATGCCAAATGGTTACATATGATGACCCAATAATCCCTGCAAAATTTCAAGATGAACATGTGCCCCCTTTCCGAAATACAGGGGGTCAAAGGGGGCCATGTCCCAAATTAGCATATGCAATATAATCGAATAATAATGTTAAAGAAAATCAGACCAAATGGTTCCCTTAAGATTTTCGTCTGCTGATTACGAATCTAAAGTCCGTTTTTAAAAATTCAAAATGGCGGATCCGATATGGCGGACGACATTTTTAAAAATCGATCCAATTGACGTGAAAATCGTTACTCGGGGGTTTTTGGGGTCTCTGATTACGAATATGATGTCCGTTTTTAAAAATTCAAAATGGCGGATCCAATATAGCGGATGACATTTTTGAAAATCGATCCAATTGACTTAAAACTTGTTACTCGGGGGAGTTTGGGGTATCTGATTACGAATATTATGTCCGTTTTTAACAATTCAAAATGGCGGATCCAATATCCCCGAGTAACAAGTTTTAAATCAATTGGATCGATTTTCAAAAATGTCGTCCGCCATATTGCAACCGCCATTTTGAATTTTTAAAAACGGACATCATATTCGTAATCAGAGACCCCAAAAACCCCCGAGTAACGATTTTCACGTCAATTGGATCGATTTTTAAAAATGTCGTCCGCCATATTGGATCCGCCATTTTGAATTTTTAAAAACGGACTTTAGATTCGTAATCAGCAGACGAAAATCTTAAGGGAACCATTTGGTCTGATTTTTTTTAACATTATTATTCGATTATATTGCATATTCTAATTTTGGACATGGCCCCCTTTGACCCCCTGTATTTCGGAAAGGGGGCACATGCTCATCTTGAAATTTTGCAGGGATTATTGGGTCATCATATGTAACCATTTGGCATAAAAAAAGTTTCAAAATTCGAGGTACGAAAAAGGGGCACTTTTTGCCGAGGCTCTTTGTCTCAAGCCATATAACCTGAAAAAAAACGTAAAACTATATATAAATTATTTTAACCCATAAGGGGATTTGAATCGATGACCTATTTAAGAATAGGGTATAGTATTTTAAAGCTTTTTTAAATTTTTAAAT